TACCTAGCGTAGGATCTTTGCCTGTTGCTAGAGTAGGTGCTGGTGTAGGATCCTGTCTAGCTACTAGTACAGGTGCTCCCTCGGCGGACGCGTCGCTCTCCTTCACACTGGACTCCGGAGCGACGCAGTGCTTCTTCCGCAACAGCACGACTCTTACTCCACTCTCAGCGCCGGTTTCTGTAGCACTGGCCGATCCCTCTTCGGGACCGGTCATTGCAACTCACGCCACTACCCTCCCGTGCCCAGCTGCCCCTTCCGGTTCTCTGACCGGCCTCCACGTTCCTACTTTCTCTAGGAACCTGGTTGGTGTGGCTCCTCTGGCGAGACAGCACGTCGAGGTCTGGTTTGAGCCTTCAGGTGACACTAGAGTCTGTGTGGAAGGTGACACGTACGCCCCTCTGGCCACTTTTCGTCAGGAGCCGGGCTCTGGTCTGTACACCCTCCACACCGACACCCGTCCGGTTCCCCCGTCCCACCAGGTAGCCAGGTCCAGTCAGGTAGCTGTGCCAGGTCTAGTGGCTGCGTCGTGCTCGTGTCGGTTGCTGTCCCACCCTGCCCTCCTCTGGCACCACCGCCTTGGTCACCCGTCCCTCTCTCGTCTCCGCGCTATGTCCAGTCAGCGTCTTGTCTTAGGCCTCCCCCGCGACCTCCCGCCGCTCCCGCCGTCCCCCGCTCCTCCGTGCGGTAATTGTGTCCAGGGTCGGCTGCGCGCCACTCCTCACTCCTCCTCCCTTCGTCCAGCCTCCGAGCCCTTTGAGACACTCCACTTAGACGTCTGGGGCCCCGCTCCCCGGCTTGGACCTGAGCGAGAGAGCTTCTTCCTAGTGGTCGTTGACGACTACTCTCGGTACACCACCGTGTTCCCTTTGGCGAAGAAGTCCGACGTGACTTCTACGCTGATCCGGTGGCTGCTCGCCACCGAGAGTACTCGTCGTCGTCGTGTCAGTTGTCTCCACTCCGACCGTGGGGGTGAGTTTCGCTCCGGCATTCTCGCCAGATTCTGTGCTGAGCAGGGCATCACCCAGTCCTGGACTCTTCCAGACTCTCCACAGCAAAATGGGGTTGCTGAGCGCCGTCTAGGCCTGGTCATGGAGATTGCCCGCACCTCCATGATCCACGCCCGCGCGCCCCATTTTCTGTGGCCCTACGCGGCTTGGTACGCCGCTCACCAGCTGAACCTCTGGCATCGCGTCTCTCGGCCAGGGGCTTCACCGACCAGTCTTTGGACAGGGTCCTCTGGTGTTGTGTCGAGGTTTAGTGTCTGGGGCTGCTTGGCGCTTGTCCGCGACACCTCTGCGGACAAGCTCTCACCTTGCGGCTTCCCCTGTGTCTTCCTTGGTTTCCCTGAGGCCTCCTCTGACTTCACCTTTTACCACCCTCCCTCCCACCGGTTCTTTGACTCTCGTGACGTCAGTTTCGACGAGTCCGTCCCCTACTTCGTCCGGTACCCCTGTCGAGGTCTCTCGGTTCCCCCCCCTCCCCTCTTCCTCGCCCCAGCTCCTCCTCCTCCCGCTCCCTCTCCTCCGGTACCCCCCCTGGTTCCCGCTCCGTCAGGTGTATCGCAGGCTACCCCCCCTCCCTTGGTCCCCCCCCAGGTCTCTCCTCCTTCCCCACAGTCGTCCTCACAGCCTCCGCAGCAGCCGTCGCCGCTTCCTCTCCCGGCCACTGCGGACTCTGAGGGTGTTGGTGCTCGAGGTGAGGGCTCTGGCGGTGCTGGTTCTGGGGGTGTTGGAGTTGGAGCTGAGCGTGCACCTGCCGCAGCTGCACGTCCCGAGCGTGTTGGAGTCGGTGGTGGTGCTGGAGCTAGTGGTGTTTCTGGAGCTGGAGAGTCTGGGGCTGGTGCTGGTGCCACTGGCGACGCCACAACTGGGGGTGCGGGTACACCTCCTACAGGTACTGGTCGTGCTGCCGCAGGGGGTCCTCGCTCTGGGGGTGCTCAGCCGGGTCCAGTCGAGTGTGGAGCTGGTTCTTCTTCGTCGTCTCCTGACACCACTCCTCCTCCTCACCCCTACCCGACTCGTTACCAGGCCCTTCGTTGTCTAGAGTGTGAGGAGCAGCAGCGTTTGGAGCGTGAGAGGTCGGAGGTTCAGCAGCGGGTGGAGCGTGAGCGGTTGGAGTTTCAGCAGCAGCAGCAGCAGCAGCAGCAGCAGCAGCAGCAGCAGCAGCAGCAGCAGCAGCAGCAGCAGCAGCAGCAACAGCAGCAGCAGCAGCAGCAGCAGCAGCCACAGCCACAGCCACAGCAGCAGCAGCAGCAGCAGCCGCCGCAGCTGCCGGAGCAGGCCCCAATTTCTGGCCTTCGGGCCCTTGGTCTCCCCTCCTCTCCTCCTGTGTTCGGTCCCACGTTTCCTCCTCCGGACTCCACTCCGGCTGTCTTCCCTCGTTCTCAGTCTCCTCCGTCCCCCCCTCCTCTCGCCCACACTTGGGCCTCTCGCCCTCCTCGTGCTCGTCCCTCGTCCCCTGTCACTGACCTCCGTACCGTGTTGTTTCGTCCTCGTCCTCCTCGTTTTCCTCCGTCTGTCCTTCCTCATCCTCCTGAGTCTTCCCTCACTACCTCCCTGTCCACTCCGGTCACTGACTACTACCTTAGTACCGTCCCACCCTCTCTCGTGTTCTCGCCTCTCTTGTTACAGACCCTCGTGCCTCTCCTTCCTCCGTCGCGGTCCTCACTGCCGCTGTCACTGACTTTACTGCTATGCGTCGCCTTGACTACGCCACTCGAGTTGTGGCAGCTCCTCCTGTCCGTCCTCTGTCCGCCGGGGGTGTGTGTGCCCTTGGCTGTGACGTCCTAGAGGACAGACATTTTGAGCTAGAGTTCCTTGCAGCTGCTTCGCCTCATCTCTGTGCCATGCTGCTCACTCCTGAGGGAGACCCCGACGCTCCTGACATACCTTCTCCTCGCACTTACGCTGAGGCAGTGTCAGGGCCTTGGGCCTCTCAGTGGAGAGCTGCCATGAACGCAGAGATGGCCTCCTACAGGTCCACAGGCACTTACGTTGACGAGGTTCCCCCCCCAGGGGCGAACGTTGTTGACGGCATGTGGATCTTCAAGGTGAAGCGGCCGCCGGGATCTCCCCCAGTCTTCAAGGCACGCTACGTGGCTAGAGGGTTCAGTCAGCGCGAGAAGTTGACTTCTTTCAGACCTTCGCGCCCACCCCGAAGATGACCACTCTTCGGGTGTTACTGCACGTAGCAGCGCAGAGAGACTACGAGCTACACTCTCTTGACTTCTCCACTGCCTTCCTCCAGGGCTGCTTACACGAGGAGATCTGGCTGCGTCGTCCTCCGGGCTTCACTGGCACTTTCCCGCCTGGGACCCAGTGGAGCCTCAGACGACCGGTCTACGGTCTCCGCCAGGCACCCCGTGAGTGGCCCGACACTCTCCGCTCTACTCTCTCTGACCTCGGGTTTGAGCCGTCTTCCGCCGACCTGTCGCTGTTTGTTCGTCGTGGCCGTACACCTTTCTTCGTCCTAGTCTACGTTGACGACTTGGTTTTTGCCACGGCCGACACAGCTGCACTGGCGGAGGTGAAGTCCGAACTGCAGAAGAGACACACCTGCACTGACCTTGGGGAACTGCGCCGTTACCTTGGCCTGTAGATCTCCAGGGACAGAGCCGCTCGCACCATCACTCTCACTCAGTCACACATGGTGCAGCAGGTTCTTCAGCGGTTCGGGCTTCAGGACTCTTCTCCTGCCCCCACTCCTCTTGCTGTAGACCACAGACTCACTGGGCCTTTTCCTGACGAGCTGTTCGAGCCCAGTGGTCCCTACGCAGAGCTGGTGGGCTGCCTCATGTACCTGATGACGTGCACTCGCCCGGACCTCGCCTTCCCCTTTAGCATCCTATCTCGCTTTGTTGCGACTGGGAGACACTGTCCTGTTCACTGGGCGGCGGCTAAGAGGGTGGCGAAGTACCTTGGCGCGACATCAGGCATGGGGCTTGTACTTGGAGGGACACAGCCAGTTGTACTCACCGGTCACTGTGACTCTTCCTACGCTGACGACGTTGAGACTCAGAGGTCTACGCAAGGTTAGTGTTTCAGCCTGGGTTCTGGAGCCGTTTCGTGGAGGTCTACTCGGTCCTCCTCTGTTGCGACTTCTACCGCAGAGGCCGAGATCTACGCTGGGGCCCTTGCTGCTCAGAAGCTACACTGGTTGACCTTTTTGCTCACTGACCTTGGTGAGCGGCTGAGCTCTGCACCGACCCTGTTTGCTGACAACAGGGCGATGATTCTCCTGTGTCGTGAGCCTCGACTGGAGAGCCGAGTGAAGCACATCGACGTCAGGTACTTCCTCCTTCGAGAGTTGCAGAGACGCGGACAGGCTCGTCTGGACTTTGTGGCATCCGAGGCCAACACTGCAGACATCTTCACCAAGGCCCTCCAGCCTTGTGACCACCGTCGGTTTTGTCTGCAGTTAGGCCTCGTTGAGACTGGGTCTAGTTGACTGCTGTAGGGTGCTCTTTGTCTGTTGCTTGCTTGTACCTTATATATATATATATATTTGTTTGCACACTTTTGGACTGGCCTTGTGGCCCTTAGCTTGTGCTCAGATTAGGTGGTGACGTTGTGATCCACCCTGAGCTTTGTTTTCTTTCTCTTGTTTTTGACTGGTCTTGTGACCGTAGGTTGCTTGTTGTTGATTGGCCTTCCCCACTTAGGCTATGGGGGTGTGTCAAATATTATAGCCTGTAGTGGGTTGAGCTATATGGGGTACAACTAGTTAGGGTTAGGTCATGTACCCCAATTCTGTCAACACAACGCATTCCGCTGTAGTTCTCATTCTGACACAATGGCCCTCCCCAGTAAATGAGTTCCAGAACAAGCACAGAACTCATGGACAACCCACCTCAACAACACAGCAAGGAAGGAACATTTGTATAAAACTTTGCATTCACGATGTGCGCGGTACGTACAGAAAAAAAAACCCCACACTACCAACACACACGCGCATACAAACATGTATAAAACAAGTCAAACTATTGTAGCTGGTACCCTTATTTATCTTCCTCGTTGAGCCTTGAGCTTGAAATAAGCCTCTATAGCAGCAGGGTTAGCCCCGTTCTTTACCATCACTGTCATGCCACCGGGTTTGCAACTGCCAGCAGCAGAAGCAGGAGCAGCAGCAGCAGGAGCAACAGTTGCCCCTTTATTTTGAACAGCCTGCACAAGTCGAGCTTCCCCACTTGCATCGGATTCCCCACTACTTGTGGGACGGAGGCGCGCTGCTGTTGCAACATTCACACTAGGCGTGTGTAACACGAGAGGTGACACGTCTCCTGCACTGCTCTGCCGCAGGAGCACGTGGCAAGGCGACGGCTTGGACTCAGCCCCCCCATATCCAGTACCACAGCTGCCGCTGCTGAGATCACCGCTGCTTCCGCCGAAGCTACTCCCGCCGAAGCTGCTTCCGTAGCTGCTGCCGAGCTCCATGCTTCCGCTGTGGCTGCTGTTTAGGCTGCTCGTCGAACCAAACCCGTGCCGCAAGGGGCCGCCGCTGTGAGGGCCGGTGTGAGGCCCGCTGGGGAGACTTTCGCTCCGAGGGGCGCCGCAAATGGGGCTCCCGCTGCCGCTGTGGCTGCTGTTCAGGCTGCTCGTTGATCCGAATCCGTGCCGCAAGGGGCCGCTGTGGGGGCTTTCGCTCTGGGGGGCGCCGCAAAGGGGGCTTCCGCTGTGAGCGCCGCCGCTGAGGGGGCCGCTGTGGGTGGCATAGCCTTCAGAACTGGATCGTGCAGGGCTCCCCTTTAGTCGAGGCGAGTTATTAGAGTGGTACTGGGCTTGGCTGTGGCTTCCGCTGTAGTACTTTCCGCTGTAGATGTACTTTCCGCCGTGGCTATTCTGTGCCGCTGTTCTGTCCGCGTGGTTGTTTTCGCTGGCATTTCCAAGGCGGACCGACTTGGTCGCGCCGGAGAAAGAGCTCCGCCGCTGCAGATTCGGCGGAGGACTCTCCGCCGCTGCTGCCACGTCAGGGCAGTTGATGGGGGTGAAGGTATGGCTCAGGCGCGAGGCGGGGCGGGCGGCGGGGTTGGCGGCGGTGGAAAAATGGGGGGTGCATTCTTCGGCGGCGTTCGTTGAGTCGTCGTCACTGCTGCCAGCAGTACCTCTATCCTCGTTATTTTCGTCGTCGCTAATAGCATCGCTGTCGGCGGGGGCGACGCCTTCTTCCAGCATGTTTGTGATATCAATGCAGTCGATCTGCACGTTGTTCGAATCCAGCGCGGCGCACGTTCGCTCCAGCTCCTCCCATCCGTGCGACGCGGAGCTGTCGGTCTCCCATCCGCTCTCCTCCACGACCGCTTCCAGTGCCGATCGCAGGCCGGTCATATTGTTCACCGCGCCGCCGCTAGCTTTCCCGCCGACAGTACTACTACTACCACCCGCGAGGCGGCCGTTACCAGTACCGCTGATGATGACGCCTGGTTGAATAACGCCGCATGTCGCGCCGCTCGAGCCGCCGCGGAAAGGTCTGTTCGCTGCGCTTGGCGGCTTTCCGCCGCCGAGTAGTTCCGCGGCCATTCCCAGCCCAGCGCCGCCAGTGAGCATGTTGAATCGCTGCTCGATGGACGGATCAGATGCTCTCACGGTGCAGATCTTGCTCGCCATGGATGTTGAAGTTGAAGGGGAGTGAATGGGACGGTGTGAACGGGACGGTGCGAATGGGAGATGTCGCGTGTGAAAGGGCAATGCGGCGGAGCTTGAAGACTTGGTTGGTGAGTGGGACGGTGAGAATAGGAGATGTCAGGTAGCTTTCAGTAATAGGGCAATTAGGCAGAGTTTGTAGACTTGGTTTAGTAGAGCCTGTGGCTGCTGGTGCTGAAGGCTGTGCTCTGTTTGGTGCTCGTGAACTTAGTCTAGGGCAGTTTTTTTCCCCAGTCACAGAGCACCAATACGACTGGTGTTGATTTGAAGAGAGCAACACACTGAGGCTATTTATTCACGAAGAAAGGCCAGTCTGCTTTGACAAAAAGCGGCCCTGTTCGGAAAGATCGCATTCCTGCGAACGGACACCATCCGAAGTTCGCCCACCTGAAGGATTTTGGCGTGAGGATGGCGTCCATGTGGGGCAGTACCCTACCTTGGACATTTGGCAGGGGCTGGCTGACGACAACTGTCGCCAACAGCGTTGAAATGCTGTTCGGGTTCGCAGCCAAACAGAGAATGACGCGACACAAAAAAGACGAACATCAACATTCGTTCGAGCGGTAATGCTAACGGCCAACAATGACTTTCAGGCAATGGAAAACAAATAAGCGGGCTAATTTCGGGATGCGTGTTTGGAATATGTGCAGGCGATTGAATGATTACTAGGGTTGGGCAGCGAAAATGAGGAATGTGCCAGCATCGCAACACTTTAGGATCAAATCACTGGTTGGTAGTACGATCGCACGATGCAACAAGTGACGTGCATGATGGTCGCACGTTCGTTGGCCGACTGAAGCCAAAGTGTCCCAATCACGGACCGTGTGGTGCAACATTGAAATGTCAATTTCTGACTTGCAAACCGCGTGGCTGGACTTCATATAGTTTCCTAGCTCAGGAATGCGATCTAAGGGAGCTTATCCCGAGCCCTTCCCGAAGCCCTCGCCTGTGCCGTGCATTGCAATTCGCCCTCCTTCCCACACAGGTCATGCAGACAAATAAATTCGAACCGCCTTAGCTGTCGATGCGCATCGCGCTTGGCTTCACGCAGTAGAGCGGTACAGTACAGCCAGTTCGCATCAGTTTGCATCCTGGCGAGGCTGTGACACTCCTTCCCAAAACGCGACGACTGGCTGCGACGCATCTCGCGAAGATTGATATCCAGTGACTGAATGAAGCTGACATCCAGTACGCCAGCCTGGACAAGGGCAACAATCCTGCCCTTCCGCGTGTCAATATCAGATCCTTCTGTTCAACCACTGTGGGATGGGATGGGATGGGAACGCAGCACAGCAGCTGGAGCCAGGAAGTTGCATGTCATTCAAACGTCGCCCGTCGGCTTTGGAAAGGCACAGAAAAAAACACACGTCACCCTTCGTCATAAAGCAAGCTGACAAACACACACTTCTCATGAAGACTATGAAAGGACAGCGTTGCAGTGCACTGTACACGTCACCCTGGAATGAGAAAACAACCAATGTTTTCTTCCAATCGACGCCGACTTCAACCCTGCCCACAGGTAAAAAAACACGAGCTATGCACCGATTGGTTGGGAGCGATGCTTGTTGCTTGGAAGAGGCGCCGCCGACATCTCTTTTTCCGACAGAACTCGACCATTATCTCCGGTACTCAGATTTTTCCTGAGCGCGTTCTCAGGTGTAATCAACCTGGACTTTCTCAACATTGATTTGTCGTTGCTTTATTGTCACATTTCTCACACTGGTCGAACTCATTAGGAAGTGACAAAAACAGAACCATCCAGTCTACCCTCCCGACTTTGATATAAGAACAGAAATTTAGGTAGTAAGAGAATGAAGCCCATAAAATTCATTTGGTGGTGCTCAGTAGCGCAACCGACCGCTAAAACAAAGCTACCGAAGCACTAGACGACGCTACCGAGAACTATTCGGGCATGGCAGAAAAAAAAACCCCTGGGGAACCTGGATGCATTTTCGAGAGGGGCCAACCCTAAACACGGGAATGGAAATTGTTTTTAGGTTTGATGCCTCCCGAGTCGCATCCCTTTCCGATTGTGTTTTCTTTTTGTCAAGTGGGCTGCAATATGTTTTCCAGAATATTGGGTGGCTTTCGGTATTTAGGGTTGATCCTTCCCGGAAATCATTTAGGTTCGCTACGGGTTATATATATATTTTCAAGCGCTGCAATTATTAATTTTGAGTGATTGTATAAAGATTAAAGCCAGAAAAGCTTCCTACTTTATCGCAAAACCGTGTTTCTGTGGGTGATTACACCTGAGAACGCGTTCAGGCGACATTGAGTATCGAAGATAATGGTCGGACAGAATTACCTCCTAGGTAACCGAAATTGAGCCCGCTGACGTCTGCAGTTTGCCACGTAGTCGATGGTACCCATCAGATCATCCGATCCCATTATCCCTGCGTGGTAACCTTAGTCCCTACGTGGTCACAGCCAAACACTCATCGCTTTCCCTGATTGAACCACGACATTTCAACCGAACTGCACACCGTACAACAAGGTTTGACTTAGCCATAATGTGTTTTTCAGTATACTGTACTAGCGCTTACAAGCTATAAAGAGTCAGAAACCCGAATTGGCACCCAATCGGGTTAATATGCCAAACCCTTTATGTGTCAAGCTAAAAGGTCCAGTAAAAAAAATAGCGTCCAGATAAATCAAAGTGCAAAATCCTATAATAATAGTCATATATTAGAATCTATAATATGCTGGATCTTCAGAATTTAATTTATATATTCTCAAAAGTGGAAAAACTATATCCTTTTGAAACTATATAGGTGATAAAAATCCAGTACTATACATATTTCATAAATAAACGCTATTGATTTTAACTGACTATTGGTTTCTCAATGCAGAAAGCTGTATCAATCAAAAATGTTCTTTTATTATGCTATAAATAAATGACAATATCTAAAATATGGTTGATAAAATTATATTATATCAATAATAAATGGCTACTTTGCAAACACAAAAATAAAAAATATAGAATATATATTATAAGGTTATATGCACATTATTTTATGACCTTAATCTATGATTTTATCAGAAGCAAACAAGAAATTTTATAATTGAAATTAGTTATATATCTTATGCATGGAACATATCATTTTTGTTAAAGTGAATTTTTGTTATACACTGATGCATAAAAATCATCATTTCGGTATGTAACATATTTTATATCTGATATATTGTGAATTTCTCAATTTTGTTTGTTCACAATTTCTGTGCACTCTGTTATTCTTATGTTTTCGCGTTTATGGTTTAGATATTACGTTTAGCATATGGACCCGATTAAGTGGCAACTCGGGTTTCTATCTTCTTTGAAATTGTAAAGGCTAGTAGAATATACTCAAAACACATTATGGCTGACTCAAACATTTTTGTACGGTGTGCAGTTCGGGTGAAATGTCGTGGAACCAGTAAGGTAATTCGATGGGTGTTCACTATGACCACGTAGGGACAAAGGTTCCCACGCGGGGATAATGGGTATGACGAAGGGGATCGAAAAATCTAATGGGTACCATCGAGCCGCGTGGCGTATTGTTTTCGTCAGCGGGTTGGATATTGGCTAAACAGAAGGTAATTACCGAATAACATTACAGAAAAGCTCAGCATGTTGTGGATAGTACTTCTGCTTTAACTTCATATGTTCCTTATCTTATTGACCACCTATCAACAAAGTCTGCTTTCACATATCATTCATATCTGTGTAGTGATAAATTAGGAAACATGCATTTAGATAACCAGTTTGTCTTGATAATTGTGTAAGAAAATTACGCCGACGGTAAATATAAGACTGTTTTAACGCATCGGTGCACGCATCCCGTTGCTATTAAATTTTGTCTGAAAACATAAGGATCGTATGGAGTTTTGTTTTCACATACAAAAATACAGTTTTTTCTTTTTAAATAACCACATGTTTCGTATCTAATGGTGGAGACGATTCATTAATAGGATTTGTAGTCCAAGTGGCTATAAATGACAAATGAAAATCTTCAATAAACCATGTGGATTCTGAATTACAGCCGTACAGGAATTCTCACCTTTGATAGCAGAAGGGTATAAATGTTATCATTAAGCCCGACATTTTATTTGAAACTAATCATTTAGAGCTCTGTTTGGATTTCTTGCTTTCTGTGGATGCGATATACGCGCTTCATTGTTATCACAGGTTTCCACCCGCCCGTGTGACTATCCCCAGCTTGCCCAAGCCTCTCTGCGCCATCCTGCCCCAGGAGAAGGGCCTTTCCGCCTTTTTCAACTGACCTGAACCACTTGAGACCTACAAAACTCAGGTTGGTTTCTGTGCCACGGTATAACTATATATAACCGTATTGAATCATTCGTACTACAGACCAATGACATTTGTACACCTTTCTTTTCCCAAACCCCCGAACCTTTCTTCCCCAATTCCGCTTCCCATGCCTAACTCTCTCCACAGCCCAGTCCCCATATCCCGTTCCCCAAATCCTCGTTCCCCCGGGTTTTGTTTTGCGGATTACCTTCCCCTGCTCCCCCCTCCGCATCTTCCCCAGTCCTTCCTCTCTCCCCCGCCGTTCCCCCCATCCCCCGCCCTCGGGCTAGGTATTGAGAGAACCTCCTAGTCTTATTTTCTTTGTCATTTGCGACTTGAGTTTTTCCAGGTCGCTGTTCGGCGTCCCACCATGGCTTCCAGACGAGCGCTCCTCGCGGCTCTCCGCTCCGCATCCCGCCGATCCTCGCAACCCACCAAGTATGGAACCACCGCCAATCGCTTCTTCTCCTCCGCCGCTTCCACCCCCGCCTCCCGCTCCCCCGCCATCGCTAACGCCCTTCTCCGCGGAAGCACGCTCGCGAACCAAGTTCCCACCAGCCGCCATGTTCCCGTGCGCTCATTCGCC